GTCAGTCTCCTGGACATTCATCAGACAGGGCTGCCCAGCAGTCCTGGGCGGCAGAGCACAGGGTACCCATCAGCAGGAGAGGTTTTCTTGTGTGTGTTACTGGGATAAGCGGGATGTCCTACAGAGGTGTGAGCTAGGGCTGCACGCATGAACACAGGGAATCTCAGGCCTAGCTTGAGCAGAAAAAAGCCAATCACGGTAAAATGTACACACTGTATGGTTGAGCGGAAAGCAAGGGAATAAAAGCACAGAACTGAGGGCTGTTCCTTCAGCCCGGAGGCCACAGGGTCAGTCACGGAAAAGCAGTTGGACTCACTCTTTAGCTGGTGGCGGTTGTATGGGTGTCGTGTTCTTTCTAACATGTGTGTTAGGTGTTTGAATAGGCGCTCGCTGTGTGCTAAGCGCTTAGTCTGCACACAGAGCATCTGTGGTGCAGGGCTGGGCACCACCAGCTGTGGCCCCGGCAGAGCCCTGTGGGTGCAGGGCGGGCGCCCATCCGGGCACTGACGCCTTCCGCCTCCCCACAGGTTCTGAAGTCCACGGGGGACGTGTCCGGAGGCCGGGCCCTGTATGAGGGGTACGCGGCGGTCACCGACGCTCCCCCCGAGTGCTTCCTCACCCTCAGGGACACGGTGCTGCTCCGCAAGGAAGCCCGGAAGCTCATCGTCCAGCCCAACACCCGCCTCGAAGGTAACGGCCTCCTGGGCCCCCTCTGGTGGGGGCCACGCGGCCCTATGGGAGCACAGAGGGGGCCTGTGAGTGGCCAGGGGCTCAGGAAGGGCTCTCTGGGGCCACTTCTGCCTATCTCCCTGCCACAATCCTCATGCCAGACCTCAGGCCAAAACCTCGGCATCTACCATCACCCCCATCACTACCACTGTCCATGGTCCTGCTGACTATTCGATGGCCGCAAAGGGTTTGAGAAAGACCAGCAGAGCCAGGGCTAGTGGAACATACAGAGCCCGGAGGGGCCAGGCATGGTACCAGAGAATCAGACCTCGCCCTGGCGTGGGTCACATCGGGCGGTGAGTGGGGACCCGGCGGGCCGAGTGGAACCCAGGGAGCAATGGGCCGCAGCGGAGCCAGGACAGAGATCCTTGGCTCTGTGGTCCCTGTACCTTCTCAAGTGATGATCCCATTCCCAGGAGCCCTGACCCTGTGTGCATTCACTTGGATCTTTTGAATTCAAAGTCTTTGGGGATCCCAGCACCTGCTGGTTCACCTTCCCTCACCCCTTGACGTGTCTACCCTGACATCTGGCTCACGAGGCACCGATGAGGTTACGGCAGGAGCTTCGGAATTGCTCTGTGACCTTGTCTTAGCACTTGGCAGCTCTGCGCTTGGGTGTCTTCCTTCAGAAAGCCAGGCTTGACGTGTGCTTACGTTACAGTGAGCCTGAATTAAGTACTTCCTTCGAGTTCTAAGTGCTCTCTATGGACCAACCCTTTAAATCCTCACAATAATCCAATGAGGTAGATATTTTTATTACCCCATTTTACAGATAAGGCAATTGAGGCACAGAGTAAATTACTCAAGGGCTCATAGCTCTCTATTGGAAGAGCCAGGAGTGAATATAGACGTGTTTCCTCTTCACATCCTGGGCGGTAGTGAGGATTGAAGTCAGTAATTCCCTCCTCCTGCTGAGGAAGAAGCATTTAAGAGGATTATCCTAAACTCTTTCCACTCCAGAGGCTCCATGGCCCTTTGCTGACCTCAGCGACCCTCTTGCCTGGTTCACTGCCCTCCGGGCATATGGGCCTTTCCATCTCTCCAACCCCCTGAGCTTGCTCTGCTCCTCTAACTCTTGCACTCACTGTTCCTTCTGCATGGCACAGTCCTCTCCCAGGCCTCTGGCTGGCTGGCTCTTGTCATCTGGGGCCCTGTCTAATGGCATCTCCCGGGAGAGGCTGTCTCTGACCCCTCCATCTAAAGCAACCCCTTTCATCCCTCTTGGCTTTCTCTTCTTCATGCTCCCGTCACTCTGCCATCTTCCTGTCTGTCTCCATGACGCAGAAGCAGCATGTCCCCTGCACCCAGGACGGGGCCTGGCACACTGGAGCTGCTCAGTGCCTGTCAAATAAGCGAATGAATGAATGAATGAATGACGAATATGAATCATACGAGGCCTACATTAAGTGCTCGTTACATGGACAGTATCGTCATCACTTTGATTGTTCTGCCCTGCAAGGGCCATTGGGGATCAAGAGGTGAATGGGACCCAGGACCTTGCCTTAAGTAGCTCACAGCCCATTAGGGAAGCCTGTGTGAGTGTCCAGGAGACGCAAACAGTGGTTTGAATAGGTGGAGACAAGATCAAATTCACCTTCATGGGAGTCAGGGAAGGTTCTGGGGAGGAAGTGGTGATTACAGGAGGCCGAAGGCCAGGTTGGATTTTTTATTTATTTATTTATTTTTTGTTTGGATTTTCAAAGGTAGTGTTGGTAGTGATGATGCTAGCTAACTTCCTAGGACTTTTATTTATTTTTTTTAAATACACTTTATTGATTTTTTACAGAGAGTTAGGGAGAGAGCTAGAGAGCTAGAAACGTCGATGAGAGAGAAACATCGACCAGCTGCCTCTTGCACATCCCCTACCGGGGATGTGCCCGCAACCAATGTACATGCCCTTGACCGGAGTCGAACCTGGGACCTTTCAGTCCGCAGACCGATGCTTTACCACTGAGCCAAACTAGTTTCGGCCTTCCTAGGACTTTTATATGCCAGGCCCTGGGTAAAAACTTTCCATGGATTAAGTCCCCACTTTTCAGCTGGAAACTGAGACACAGAGGGACTGTATGTGCCTGAGGTCACACAACTAGTGGTGGCAGAACCAGAATTTGAACTTGGGCCATTTGAACCCAGAGCCTGTGCTCTTAGCTCTGTGCAGGGCACATTGCCACAGAGCACAACAAGGCACTGTGGGGGGAAGTGTGTTAGGGGGAACTGCCTCCCTTAACAGATGAGTAAGTAGGTGAGAGATAATGCTGCTGGTGGTAGATAGCACTTGTGGACCACTCACTCGATGTATTATTATATGTAATCACTACAGCTCCTTGAGGAACAAGGTACTGTGCTCACCCCCACTTCACAGATGAGAAAACTGAGGCTTAGAGGTTGAGAAGCTTGTCTGAGGTCCCACAGGGGGCAGAGGTTAAGCAGTTGCTGGACTGTAAGCTCCTGGAGGCCAAGGACAGTGTCTGTTTATCCTGACATGGCACCTGGCATCCATCTTTTATTAATTGAATGGATGGATACAGCAGTTCATTAAGTCCTCGCCCTCTAATATTTCCTTCCTCGTAGGATTATTGTAAGGATGAATAGATAATAAACCTAAAACACTGGGCACAGTTTTTGGCACACGGCAGGAGCTCAGGAAGAACTAGCCACTGATGATGATGATGACGACGATGGTGGTGATGACAATTCTGCTTCCCTGTTAAGACTTTCTCTGCAGCTGTTTTCTCTCCATTTCCTCCCCAGGCTCAGAAGTGCAGCTTCTTGAGTACGAGGCCTCGGCTGCTGGTCTCATCCGGTCCTTTTCCGAGCGCTTCCCCGAGGATGGGCCCGAGTTGGAGGAAATTCTCACGCAGCTGGCCACCGCTGATGCCCACTTCTGGAAGGCTCCATCTGGCCAGGCGTAACGCAGATTATTTGTACAGCCCCTCCCCCGCGCCATCCAACCAAGGTTGCAGTGGCCCCTTTTTTATGTGTGCATCCGGGGCCAAGGGAGGGGCCTGAGCTCAGGCCGTGGTGCTACCTCAGCTGAGGGTGGTGACATTAACCCCTTCCGTGCATCAGCACTTTCCACTTTACCAACTACTTCCCTGTGTTAATCTCATTTGATCTGTGCTGCCCTCTGTAGGCCGGGCAGAGCGCCTTATCCTGTTTCCCACACGAGGAAACGGAAGTTCTGAGAAGTGACCCGTCTTGAGCCTGCAGGACTCAAAACCTCTCCCTGTCCAGTGCTCTTCATGTATTACTTTTATAACCAGAAAAATAAATATTAGAAATAAATAAACAGTGTGGTCTGAGCCGATTGCTCCTTGTCTCTGCTTCACTTTTCTTCTGCTCCTCGCAGGGTAGTGGGTCCAGGGCTGGGGAGGGGGCAGGAGGGTCATGTTCAGGCTTCCATCCCCTGAGGATGTATGCACGCAGTGACAGCATTGTACATAGCACCATTTCTGCACTCCTCTTGTGGCATTTCTTGTATTTTGAAATATTCTGGGAGTTTAAAAACTAGAAACTTGCAACTTTAGTCAGAATCCCAGGATTTAATCTCTTGAGCCTTGTGTTTTGTTTTCTGAGCCTGGATCTTGAGAAGAAAGGACATGGCTCTTTTCAGCTTGAAGGGACCTGTTACTTTTGCTCAGAATCACTGGAAGGACTTCCCTCCAGGCTGGAAGCCATAGCGCCTGCCGCTCACCCAGGGGTGACCGGGCCCAGAAGCCCAGCTGGGAAGGAGCAGAGAGAGATAAACGCTGAGTCGGGAAGGAGCAGAGAGAGAGAAAAACCCTATGAGGCTGAAACCGGTTTGGCTCAGTGGATAGAGCATCAGCTTGGGGACTGAAGGGACCCGGGTTCGATTCAGGTCAAGCGCATGTACCTTGCTTGCGGGCATATCCCCAGTAGGGAGTGTGCAAGAGGCAGCTGATCGATGACTCTCTCATCGATGTTTCTATCTCTCTCCCTCTCTGTAAAAAATCAATAAAATATATTTAAAAGAGAACAAAAAACCCTATGAGCTGGGGAAGAGCAGAGAGAGAGAAACCCTATGAGCCGGGAAGGAGCAGAGGTAGATAAACCCTATGAGCCGGGGTGAGGGGTTGCGCTTCGGCCGCCAGCAGCCCCGCCAGGAAGCCAGCACGCCCCGCGGGGCCGCCCAGGTGCGGGCGGAACGTTGCGCGGCCGGAACGTTTGTGCGCGAGCTGCCCGGAGCCCGGAGCGCCGGGCTGTGGCACGCGGAGCTTCCGGAGCCGGTTGCCAGGGCGACGCCTGCGAAGATGGCCGCTGCGCCTCCGACGGATTTCAATGGCGGCAAAGTGGAGAGGTGAGGGCCCCAGGCCTTTCGGCCTCTTTTCCTTCAGACGTGAAGAGGGGCCCCGGGACCTGGCTCCCGAGGTTCTGGGACGGCTAGGGAAACTGAGGCCCAAGGGGGGTCCCTCTCTGTCTCTCTGTCTCTGTCTCTCTCTGTCTCTGTCTCTCTCTCTGTCTCTCTGTCTCTCTCTCTGTCTCTCTCTCTGTTTCTCTGTCTCTCTCTCTGTCTCTCTGTCTCTCTCTCTGTCTCTCTGTCTCTCTGTCTCTCTCTCTGTCTCTGTCTCTCTCTCTGTCTCTCTCTCTCTCTCTCTCTCTGTCTCTGTCTCTCTCTGTCTCTCTCTGTCTCTCTGTCTCTCTCTCTGTCTCTCTCTCTCTCTCTCTCTCTCTCTCTCTCTCTGTCTCTCTCTCGCGGTCAGGGGTGGAGCCTGGGCTTGGACCCAGTTCGGGGCTCCCCACGCTCCTCGCTCCGAGACCAGCTCCCGCCCTGGGCACTCTCCCTCCCCCTCTCCCAGCAGTGAGGCCGGCTCCAAATGGCTGGACGCGCACTACGACCCCCTGGCCAACATCCACACCTTCTCCGCCTGCCTGGGTGAGTGTGGGCTCCGCGCTCCGGGCTGCGGCCCCGGGGCTGAGCTGTCAGTGCCGGTTCTGCAGCGAAGCCTCCGGGCGGACACCCGGCTGATGGCTCCCCTGTGTTTTCCAGCGCTGGCAGACCTGCACGGGGACGGCGAGTACAAGGTAAGGCACCCCCCAGCAGGAGGAGAACTGTGTGTGTGTGTGTGTGTGTGTGTGTGAGAGAGAGAGAGAGAGAGAGAGAGAAATGAACACCGTGTGTGTGTGTGTGTGTGTGTGTGTGTGTGTGTGTGTGATGCCAGAATTGACATGTCCCCTTGGCTCCAAAGAAGCTCAGCACAGTGGGCGGAATTCGTGAGTGCCCTGAAACAGCGCCGTTAGTGTTAAGTTTTATCTCTGTGTGGAAGGCGAAGAGATCCCACGGTTTCCTAATACAGAATGCTGCTGGGATTTTACTAAGACGGAGCCTCTTAATTGTGTTAATTCTTTGCTGGAAGGCAGGCGCCTCCCGTGGTTGGATGTGAGGGGTTAGAATCTGGAGGGGAAGTAGAAGGGAATTGAAGTGACTTTTATGATTATCAAAAGGACATACCTTGTTTCCCCAAAAGTAAGACAGTGTCTTATATTAATTTTTGCTCTCAAAGATGCGCTAGGTTTTATTTTCAGGGGATGTCTTATTTTTCCATGAAGAAGACTATGGTATACATTTATTGTTAAATGAAAATAAAGGAAATTTATTACCTGTATACGGTACGGTAGTACGGTAGTTGTCAACACAAACCAGACAAACTGTGAATCCTACAGTATCAAGAATTTACTCATTTATTCAATGACAATCATGTCATCATCTCCTGGAAAATCATCATAATCCAATTCCTGAATTTCTGGGTGAATTTCTTGTGATTCCATTTCTTTCAGAATCAGTGGACCAAATCTCTCATGTTTAGCCTGGGGGGAGGGCCTTATTTTCGGGGGATGCCTTATATTTCACTCAGAAGGAAACCTGTAAGTAGGTCTTATTTTCAGCGGATGTCTTATTTTCGGGGAAACACGGTAGATTTTAAGATTAGCCATGAGCTGATAATTGTTGAAGCTGGATGATGGGTGATGGGTTCATTATATGAGTCTGTCTACTTTTATCTATGACTGAAATTTTTCCATAATACAAAGGTTGAGATTTAAATTTAAACATAAAGAGAGCCCATTGGTCCATGAACCAAGATGCCTGGGTTATGGGCTTGATGCTGAGTAGGGAGTGTGCGGTAGGCAGCCAATCAATGATTCCTTAGCTCTGTTCCCATTTGGAAGTCAGGAGCCCAGACAAGAGTTTCCAGTGCCCCACTGACCTCGGCCACTGTGCCAGTGTCTAGAATAGTGCCTGGCAGGCCCGGGGGAGCAGGCAGGGCTGGTGCGGCCAGGCCCGGAGCAGCGGCTGCCAGGCTGGGAGCGGCCAGGCCCGGGGGAGCAGCCGGGTCGGGTGCGGCCAGGCCCGGAACAGCGGCTGCCAGGCTGGGAGCGGCCAGGCCCGGGGGAGCAGGCGGGGCTGGTGCGGCCAGGCCCGGAGCAGCGGCTGCCAGGCTGGGAGCGGCCAGGCCCGGGGGAGCAGGCGGGTCGGGTGCGGCCAGGCCCGGAGCAGCGGCTGCCAGGCTGGGAGCGGCCAGGCCCGGGGGAGCAGGCGGGGCTGGTGCGGCCAGGCCCGGAGCAGCGGCTGCCAGGCTGGGAGCGGCCAGGCCCGGGGGAGCAGGCGGGTCGGGTGCGGCCAGGCCCGGAGCAGCGGCTGCCAGGCTGGGAGCGGCCAGGCCCGGAGCAGCAGCAGCCAAGTCCAGAGCAACTAGGTCGGGAGCGGCAGTGACCAGACCCGGAGCAGCTGGTTGTGGAATGAACTAGAGCAACAGAGGCCAGGCCCTGAGCAGCCAGGCCCAGAACAGCTCGCTCCTTGCCTGCCCCTGCCCCATGGCTGCTTCTCAGACATGGCTGGAAACTTTCGTGGGAACTTGAGGGTCTGCTGAATCAAGTGATGAAGGCTTAGATCTGGATGTGTTGAGTTAGTTTAGGACTGGGGTGTTGATCTATGAGTGCCTTGGGTGGGGCCTGGATGAGGCTGGTTGACCTAGTGGGAAATGTCTTTTGTGTGAAGTGTATCATTGGGCATGTGGAGGTATTATTGATATGAGAAAATGCTAAGTAACTGATTTACTATCTGAAAAGGGATTTACTATTGGGGAAATTGAGGGAAGAAGAGAGTGAACATAAACTGCACCTATGGATGAGGACAATGGGGGATGGGGGGGGGGACGGAGGGTGGGGTGGGAACCTGGTGGAGGGGGGAAGAAATGAGGAACCTTTGTAATAATATGAACAATAAAGATTGATTAAAAAAAAAAAAAAATAGAATAGTGCCTGGCAGGGAGCAGGCCCTGAAATATTTGCTGAATGAATAATGAAAACATCAGCTGCCACCTACTTCTCACTAGGACTCACCGAGTTCTGTGATTCATGATCTCATTGGATTTTCACTGCAGGTGCCATGAAATTGATATTCCTATTTTGCTGGTGGGGGAACAGGCGCAGGAAGTTTAGGCTCAGCTGGTCTCTGAGGTCCCAAGGTCACAGACCTTGCAAGCTTTATTGCACTTGCTGTTGGGTGGGAGTGAACGGATACGCACCAGCAAAAAGACTGAGCCCAAGAGGAGGGTTAGCGGCAAGGTCTGTAGACTCTGAGCCTGGGGTAAGCCAGCCTCTCTTCACAGCTGGTGGTGGGGGACCTCGGCCCCGGGGGGCAGCAGCCCCGCCTGAAGGTGCTCAAAGGACCCAGAGTGCTGACTGAAAGCCCTCTCTCCGAGCTGCCCGCCGCGGCTGCCACCTTCCTCAAGGACCACCATGAGCCCCGGACGCCAGCGCTGGCGCTCGCTTCGGGCCCCTGCGTGTATGTGTACAAGAACCTGAGGCCCTACTTCAAGTTCAGCCTGCCCCCGCTGCCTGTGAACCCCCTGGAAGAGGATCTTTGGAACCAAGCCAAAGAGGTAAGAGGTGGGGGCGGGGGGGGGACAAGAAGGCAAAGATGGCAGCCACTGGGGCCTCCTCCTCCTCTGCGGCTCTGGAGTGCACAGGCTTTACCTTCTGCCTGTGCTGTTACAGGACCGGATCGACCCCTCGACCCTGAAGGAGATGCTGGAGGGCATCCGGTGAGGGCCCCCTCCCCTTCCCTCGCCTCCCACCCTGCCCTCCTCCGACTCTTCCAGACCCAGGGCTCTGTTCCTCATAAAGCTGCCGTGGTTGCCCTTCTCTTCCAGGGAGAAGGCAGAGGTGCCTCTGTCTGTCCAGTCGCTCAGGTGAGGGCCCTCGGAGGGCCTGGGCTCCGGGAGCTCCTGGGGGAAGGGAGTGGCTGAGGGGCCTGTGGAGGACAGCCAGGCCCAGGGCTGCGTGTTCTCCAGGTTTCTGCAGCTGGAGCTGAGTGAAATGGAGGCGTTTGTGAACCAGCACAAGTCCAAGGCCATCAAACGCCAGGTAATGCCCCTTGTCCTCATTTCCCCGTTAAAAATACGGATAATTTTTTAAAAAGCCACCTAACATCAGAGCTAAATCCTACATCCAGACCTGACTAGTTTCACTTAGCGGTTTCCCTTCCAATCCTGCCCCAGACATATGGCCACGCAGCTGCAGGGCCTTCCCCGTTTCCGGTTAAGTGACAGCTTTGGCTTGATCTGTAGCTCTGTAACTTTATAGAGCTTTCCTCGTCTGGAAGGTAAAGGTACTATATTCTCATTAGAGGAAATTTGGGAAATAAAAGTGTAAAGGAGAAATAGAAATGACAGCAATCTCACTACCTGAGGTACTGGCTCTTCTTGTAAATTTGGTACATTTCCTTCACAAATACACTTTTACATCCTGCTTCCCTTGAGTAACAACATATTTGGGGCATTAAGGAATTTAAGAACTATGGTTTTAGCGGCCCCTGGATTATTTAATTGATTTCTCATTATGCCCTTCATTGTTTATATAACTAGTCACATGGAAGTCATCTGACAAAACAGTGTGTCCCTTTTATTCACTTCATAGGTAGTTTTTTTGTTAGTTACACTTCTAATTGCTTTATTGATGAACCTATTCACTGATGAACTCTATTGGTTTCTGAGCCTTAGTCCGGGGACAGACTCCCGGAGCTGTGCTCTGCGTTTCAGAAAGCCTCCTGGGAGCCATGGGGTCACTTGAGCCAAGCATGTTGATGAACAGTTTTCAGCCATTGGCTGGTCTTAGACCAGCTCTGTGAGAAGCATGTTCTCCCTGCTGATCAGCAGCTAGACCCACAGCTGTCACTATCTTTGAGCATTTCTAAAATCAGGAGGTGGATTGTTGCTCAAAGATGCAGTTTGGGGGCAGAGGGCAATCTTTCTAAGTGTGTCATGGTTACCAGATTGGGAACCACCAAGTTCCATACTTCTGTAACCCTTCTCCTCCCCTCAGCTTTTAATCTTAAAGATGATCACGCGATGAGCAGCTTTATTCAGGGAAACATTTGGTCCTGCTAAAGTATCTCCACAGGAGAAATCCCTAAAGGGGGTCATCCCCTTCTCTTTTGTTTTCTCTCCGATCACAATTACGAAAGGAACAGGTGCCCGTGGCAGAGATTACAGAAAAGCCTGCTGCAGAGATTAAATGGCACCGGGAGCTTGTTGTCCAGAGATAACCAGTGTTCGTATTTAAGGGTTTAGCTTTTCAGCGTGTTTTTCTATTCATACATTTTTAAAAACTGAGATTATGTAACTTTTTACCTATTTTTTTTTCTCTTAATACATTAGAAGTGCTCTTCCTATCTTTGAATCGTCTTTTAAAATATGATTTCTTTTTTTTTCTTTTTTTTTTTTTAAATATATTTTATCGATTTTTTACAGAGAGGAAGGGAGAGAGATAGAGAGCTAGAAACGTCGATGAGAGAGAAACATCAACCAGCTGCCTCTTGCACATCCCCTTCTGGGGATGTGCCCGCAACCAATGTACATGCCCTTGACCGGAATCGAACCCGGGACCTTTCAGTCCACAGACCGACGCTCTACCACTGAGCCAAACCGGCTTTGGCTTAAAATGTGATTTCTTAAATGTCTGCATGGCTTAGGATCATAGGGATAGTTCATAATAGACAATCCTCTTTTGTTAGAAAGTTAGCTTTGTTGCAGCAAACACCTTTGTACATAAACCTTCTTTTGCCTCTCTGATCCTCTTCTGTTTTACCCTCTTTCTTCCCTCCTGTGGTGTCTTGGGGGTGTGAGGGGGATGGTGTGGGGATCCCGGGTGACCCCTGGCGCCCTCCTGCAGACAGTCATCACCACCATGACCACCTTAAAGAAGAACCTGGCCGACGAGGATGCTGTGTCGTGCTTGGTGCTGGGCACTGAGAACAGGCAGCTGCTGGTGCTGGACCCCGAGGCCTTCACCACTCTGGCCACGGTCAGTGTGGCCCTCCCTGCGGCCCAGGCTGCATGCCCTCCCTCTGTCCCCCCCTCTCCTGCTCCCCACGGCCCAGGCTGCGTGCCCTCCCTCTGTCCCCACCTCTCCTGCTCCCCACGGCCCAGGCTGCGTGCCCTCCCTCTGTCCCCACCTCTCCTGCTCCCCACGGCCCAGGCTGCGTGCCCTCCTCTGTCCCTGCCTCTCCTGCTCCACGCGGCCCAGGCTGCGTCCCCTCCCTCTGTCCCCGCCTCTCCTGCTCCCAGTTCCTGTAATGCATGCTCCTTGTAGGAAAATTATAAAATATAGATAAGCATAAAGAAAAATATATAAAGAAATCCCACCACTCGCAGACATTTACTATTAAAATTTCAACATATGTCTTTCCTGACATTTTCATATTTAGACATAGGTATATAACTATATACATAACTATATGTAACTATATATATATAATTATATATAGAGAGATATAGATATAGATATATAGATATAGATATATGTGTGTATATATATAGATTTTTTTTTAAATTTTTTTTTTTTACAAAAATGGCCTGTGGTACAGGATCGCATAACTTGCTCTTTTCACATAGCAGTAGCTCATCAGTGTCTTTCCACATCTATATAAAACCACATTCTCCTTTCAAAGGCCTTACAGTATCCGTTTTATAGATTTACAACATTTATTTAAAAGTTTTCACTATTAACAGCACTGCAGTAGGCATTCTTGCCCAAATGTCTTTTCATTGCTTGTCTAAAATGTCTCCTTAGGATGCATTCCTAGAAGCGGCAAAGTTTAGTCAAAGGCTTGTGCTACATGTTGCTCAGTTTCCCTCCAGAAAAATTGTACGAGTTAGAACTGACCAGTGAGGAAGCTGGGACTTCAGATAAAGGGCAGCTGGTCCCTTCGGGGTCGGGAAGGACTGGGCTCCGGAGAAATGGGACGATTGAGCCTCTTCTTTGCAGATGAACCTGCCCAGCGTGCCCGTCTTCCTGGAGGTGTCTGGCCAGTTCGACGTGGAGTTCCGGCTTGCCGCGGCCTGCCGCAACGGGAACATCTACATCCTGAGAAGGTAGCCACTCAGGTCTCTGGGCCGGAAAGAACAGCTCAGATCCCGGGCGGTGTCTGGGCTTTGCAGGATGAGCAGGGACTTGGGCTGGAGTTTGGGAATGGAAGGAGCTGAGGCGTGCACACCGGAGGCTGAGCCCAGGAGCACGGGGGCATCCGGAGGCTCGTGGGCTGGGGGCTGGCGAAGGGAGAGACCGGCTGGGTGGCCGTGGCACACAAACAATGCAGTCAGAAATTGGAAGAAATAAAAATGGTCTCTCATATTTGTTAGGTTGTTTTATAGGTATGTGACACTCTTTTCAGTGCGGTAGTTTGATATTCCTTACAGCATTCTTTTTTTTAATTGAGAGATGTTTTTGAGCACCTACTTAAGCATTATATAAGGTTTTGATGAACAAAATGAACATGTTTTCTGCCCTTATGGGAAGACAGATATTAAAGTCAACAAACCACGGGATAAACAATGGGGTCAAGGTGATCAGCAAACGCCTGTCCGTGCGAATGACTTAAAGGGGAAGAAGGGGCCAGTTTTCCCCCAAGTTCAGAAAGAGTGTGTGGGCAGAGAACCTGAGCAAACTCAGGTGGGGAAGACACGGGCATGTGCTGCCCAACGTGGTGGGCAGAAACGACATGAAGGCCAGGTTAGCTCATGTAGGACCCTTTAGGATATGGTCAAGATTTTGGATTTTACCTGAAGTCTAGTGGGAAGCTGCTATTGGATTTTACAGAAGAATGCCACGATCCATTTACACATTTGAAAGATTACTGGGTGGAGGGTAGATTGGCAGGAGGCCCAGGGACCGGTGGGAGAGCCTCAGCTGGGACATGACGTTGGCCCAGACTCGGTGATGAAGGAAATGGGCCATAGCCTGTGATTGGTAGGCAGGAACTCCCCCTACTTTCTGGGAAGAGAAACAGCCCTAGCTGGGTTGGCTCAGTGGATAGTGTGTCAGCTTGTGGACTGAAGAGTCCCAGGTTCAATTCCAGTCAAGGGCACATGCCCAGGGTTGTGGCAGCTGATCAGTAATTGTGTAATCAGTAATTGTGCAGCTGATCAGGTTGAAGGCAGCTGATCAGTAATTCTCTCTCATCGTTGATATTTCTATCTCTTCCTCTCTGGAATCAATGACATCTATTTTAAAGAGAGAGAGAGAAACAGACTCAGAGGCCAGGACATGGAAGCTGTGCAATTACACACAACTCTGTGCTGTTCCGATAAATTATTAAAGTGCTGAAGTCCACTCGCATACATCTGGCTCCACTCACTGTAAACATCAGCTGCCAGGTTATCACAGATCACTGCGGTGAAGGCAGGAGGGAGGCCAAGGAGGAGGACACACGTCATGCTCCTCAAGGTCACACAGCTGTTAAGAGGTGCAGGTGGAAAGAACACCGTGGCCTCTGCTGTGGGCCGAGGTTCCTTCCAGGACAGTCTAAGGGGCTTAGAAGGGAGGGAGAGAGGGTGTCTCTGGCTGGGAGAGTCTCTTCACTCCACAGAGACTCCAAGTGCCCCAAGTACTGCATCGAGCTGAGCTCCCAGCCTGTGGGGCTTGTCCGGGTCCACAAGGTCCTGGTGGTGGGCAGCAACCAAGACAGCCTGCATGGCTTCACCCACAAGGTATGGCCCCGGGCGAGCACCCGCCCCACCCGCCCTCCACGCATGTCTCCCAGGTCCCCCTTACAGGCGAGCCCTCTGGCATCCCCTTCCCAGCACTTCCAGCCACCCCTCTCTCCATCCCAACCCTAAGCCCCTGCAGACCCCTGGCTGTTCCCCCAGGGTAAGAGGCTGTGGACGGTGCAGATGCCTGCGGCCATCCTGGCCATGAACCTCCTGGAGCAGCATTCCCGGGGCCTGCAGGCCGTCATGGCTGGGCTAGCCAATGGCGAGGTCCGCATTTACCATGACAAGACCCTGCTCAACGTCATCCGCACCCCGGTGAGCCCTCACTCTCGCCTCGAGGGCAGATTCCGCTCCACCCACCGCCCTGGGCTTCTAATGCATTGCAAAGACATTCGTCCAAAAACCTTTGTTGAGCACTTCATAACACAACTCGTTGTATTGAGGGGCATAAAACAAGGTTAAACCCTTGCCTTCAGGGAGCTTAATGTCCAAGGTGACAGCCAGCCGAGACACAGCTGATTCGAATAGAAGGCAGACAGAAGCCAAGTGCTGAAAAAGCGGAGCAGGCTGAGTGTTGGTGTAGGTAAATGGGGATGGAACTCAGGGACACTTGGTACAGCAAGTGACAGTTATACTGGGCTTCAAAGCAGCGTGCCAAGAGGGTAAACGGAAGAACATTCCAGACAGAACAGCATGAAAAAAGGATGAGACGCACGAGTGACGAGCGCTCTTGATTAGGGAATCCAGGTAGTTTGGACCAGAGTTTTTCAATCACTAAGTTGTGAGTCATTAAATCTAGTTAATGGGTCACCACCTGCAACAGAAAATTCAGCGTGAATCGCAAGTGAAACGTATGTGTGTATGGATGTGTCAGGTGTCCTGTGCCACAAAATAAAATTTGAGGGCAGGTGCTGTATGGGTCGGGAGATGGGAGAGTAAAGCATTGACAGGAGAGGTGGGCTAGAGGCACATGGGAAGGGGGACAGGGAGAACAGAGCACTGGAGGTTTTCTAGAAGGATCCACGTGATCGTGTTGGTGTTGAGAGGCAGCTGTGAGGACAGGCGGGAGGAAGACTGGTCTGGGAAGCCTCTTAGGAAGCTGCCCCCACAAGCCCAGGATGCTGAGTCTGGAACTGGCCGTGCAGAGGCGGGAGGGAGGTTAGAGAAGAGGCGCTGTTTCAGAGGCAGCACTGCCCAGGCCTCGCCTCACACCTCCCCTGGGGTGCCCGACCTTGCCCCTCTGCCGCAGCCTGCTCTCCTCCCCACAGTGTCTTCCTAAATAAACTCGTGTCTGCCCCGCAGGATGCAGTGACCAGCCTGTGCTTCGGCCGCTTCGGGCGGGAAGACAACACCCTCATCATGACCACGCGAGGTGAGGGGCGTGGACCGGGCACGGGGCTTCGAGCTGGGAGTGAAGGGGGCAGGCCAGATCCGGGGAGAGAAGGTGGGCGTGAGGCACGGGAGGACGTGGGTGTGGAAAGCAGGGCTGGCAGACACGGGACAGCTCATCAGCCGTTTGACATGGTGACTCAGGGCCAAGCCCGTGGCTGGGTTGTGTCTCTGGTTCACCAGCATCCTCAGCGCCTACCCACCAGGATCGTCAAAATGCTCCCCAAATAACTGAAACGAACGAAATAACTGATGGTAGGGGGTGTTTAGACAGACTTCATTTCGTCCAGGAATTCAGGGTCTGGGCAGCAGGGCAGAAATGAGGAGGATTGTTAGGGAAAGAGATTGGAATGTAGTGACGGGGAGGTCACAGCTGTTTCTGGCTCCGCTTCCCCAGGTGGTGGCCTGATCATCAAGATCCTGAAGCGGACAGCGGTGTTTGCGGAGGCGGGAGGGGAGCTGGGCCCCCCGCCAGCCCAGGCCACGAAACTCGGCGTGCCCCGGAAGACTCGGCTCTATGTGGACCAGACACTGCGCGAGCGGGAGGCCGGCACCGGTGAGACTGGCCTCGCTCTTCCTCTTCCTCTTTCTCTTCCTTCTCCTCCTCCTCCTCCTCCTCTTCCTCCTCCTCCTCTTCCTCTTTCTCCTCCTCTTCCACTTCCTCTTCCTCCTCCTCTTCCTCCTCCTCTTTCTCTTCCGTCTCCTCTTCCTCCTCCTCTTCCTCCTCCTCCTCCTCCTCCTCCTCTTCTTCCTCCTCTTCCTCCTCCTCCTCCTCCTCCTCCTCCTCCCCCTCCTCTTCCTCCTCCTCTTCCTCCTCTTCCTCCTCCTCCTCTTCCTCCTCCTCCTCCTCCTCCTCTTCCTCTTCCTCCTCCTCCTCTTCCTCTGCTGCTCCGAGGCAGTAAGCGGAGCGGATTCGGCCTGGGCCCCAGCAGTGGGAGGACAGCTGGTGGCTGTGCAAGCTGTGCCTCCGGTAGCCCAGCCTCGGAGGCCACCGGCCCACAAATCACTCCCTCAGGCGGAAGGAGCTGTGGGTGAGGGCAGGGCCCTTGGCATTCAGCGGAGGAAGCAGGTCCAGCACCAGTGCCATCAGAAGGCCTTCTTCTCCCCACATGCCCACCCTCTGCAGACCCTGCCAAAGTACCTCCGTCCGGTACTCTCCCCCCCCCCCCTGCACCCTCCCCCCGCCTCCCCTCCCCTCCTCCAGCGCCAGCCCTGTGTCTCCTCAGCCATGCACCGGACCTTCCAGACCGACCTCTACCTGCTGCGCCTCCGGGCCGCCCGTGCCTACGTGCAGGCCCTCGAGTCCAGCCTGAGCCCCGTGTCCGCGACGGCCCGGGAGCCCCTCAAGCTGCACGCCGTGGTGAGCGCAGCCGTCGGGGAAGTCGCAGCTTCAGAGCCAGAGGGCAGAGAGCAGGGAACCCTGCAGCCGCTGAGCCGATTCCAAGTCAGCCCGGCCCGTGCCCCCTCACCTTCCCACAGGCCGGCTTTGTGAGAGTGTCTCGCCGCTCTCCCTGTGCCGCCTCTGCCCGCGCTGGCTGCTCAGGGACACTCTGCAGCTCCCTCGCCCAGCCGCGCTCAGACAAGCCGGCGTGGGGCAGGGCACACGGGTCCTCGCTCGGGGATGTTTCTCCCAGGGCCCGGAGGACCCTCCACCGTGCGCGGGAGGAAAGCTGTTCGGTTCAGCAGCTGCGGAGCCCCCGGTGCCAGGATGCCTGAGGCTGGCCCAGGCCGGGAGGAGCCCACACACCCAGGCACAGTGGCCTTAGGGTCCTCAGGGCTCCAGCCAGCTCCCATAGGTCCCTGCGGTGTGCCACCTGGCCCAACTGGGTTTCTGACTCCTCTTCCCTAAAGAAAGGGGGGGGAGAGAGGAAGAGGCTACAGAGCAGCCGGGGTAAGAGGGAGGGAAATGAAATCACTTCGGCCGCCGCAGGACAGGAGGGGAGGCGGCCAAGCTGTAGGAGAGGGGCAGGGGCTGGTGAGGACACGGGGAGGAGCTGGGACCTGTATCCCCAGGCCAGCTCTGCCTCAACCCCCCATCTAGCCTCTTCCCGGCCTGGGCCTTGGCTGATTCCGTACCCACCGCGGCCAGCCTTCTGGGCCTTTTGAGAGGCAGAAGGACAGCGAGCTAGAATAGGTGGAGGAGGTGCCTGGGGACGCTGATGAGGAAGCAGGGCTAGGGCACATTGTGTTCCTGCCCCAGGCCACCAGGTCTACCCACTCCTCCCTCTCCACAGGTTCAAGGCCTGGGCCCCACCTTACCCACTCCTCCCTCTCCACAGGTTCAAGGCCTGGGCCCCAACTTCAAGCTCACGCTTCACCTGCAGAACACCTCTACGGCCCGGCCCATCCTGGGGCTGCTCATCTGCTTCCTGTACAACGAGGCGCTCTATGCCCTGCCCAGGGCCTTCTTCAAGGTGCGTGACAGCCTCCGGGGACGCGGAAAGGTGGGGGTGGGGGGCTGGTTAAATGCCCACGGAGCCTCCACCCGGCCGGAGGTGAGAGCTGGCAGGGCCTCAGCCGCAGGTTAGGCAGGGGCACAGCAGGGCCTCCGGGGAGAGCACCCAAGACCCGCCTCGGCTGCCCTCCTCCCAGCCTGTGAGGTCTCAGCCGCCGCCGCCGGCGCTGGGGGAACGGCCATGCGGGGCCCTCCTGTGCCTCCAGAGCCTGTGGCCTGCGGCAGAGATGGGCCTGTCTGCCTCAGGAGGGCAGGTCCCGGTTTTCCGGGGCGTGAGGGCTGATTTCCCACCATCTTTGTCCCCACACGCAGGTCCCCTTGTTGGTGCCAGGGCTCAGCTACCCCCTGGAGACCTTTGTGGAGAGTCTCAGCGACAAAGGCATCTCAGATGTTATCAAGGTAGCTCGCCATTGGCAGTGCCTGGGGGGGACAGAGCGAGCGTGTGCACAGGTCCCTGTGCTGCCTGTGGGGTGGGTGTCTGCACAGGAGCGGCCTCCCGCCCTTTGCAGACTGAGCAGGGGGCAGGGCTCCGGGGGCATGACCCTGCTGCCATGGACCTCCTCCTCAGGTGCTAGTGCTTCGAGAAGGCCAGAGCGCACCCCTGCTGAGTGCCCACCTCAACATGCCCTTGAGCGAGGGGCTGGCGGCTGCCTGAGCCGGGCTGGCGTGAAGCGCCTGCGGAGTTGGGACCAGGAAGACCCAGCCCCTTCACTGAGCTGACGGAGGCAGTGGCGCCCGCTCCCCTCCCCCCTGAGCCCCCCGTGCTCACCATCCGCAGTGCCAGGAGGTCCAGGCCTTTCTCCTCGGGACGGTGCAGGCCCCGCTCGCTGGGCTCCTGCTGCTCCCCCGTCCTCCCGGTTCCTCCAGAAATCACACCGAGCCCAGAGGCGGCTCGGCATCGAGGTGAGATGGGGGCCCGGCCTGCTTCTCCTTGGCCGCCCCCTCGGGCACAGCTCACTGCTGCCGCCGGCCCAGTGGAGGGGCTGCGGCCTGGCCGGGGGCAGTCAGGCGTTACTGGGGGAGACTGAGCCCCCTGTTGCTCCCGGGGGTCCCAGGAGCTTGGCTGCTGCCAGTTCAGCTGGAAGCAAAACACGTGCTGATTGCCCCTCATCGCTGAGCAGGGCCCCTCCTTCTGTTCAGGGGCCCAGAGTGTAGCTGCCCCCCCACGGGGGCTTTCTGAAATCTCAGGCCCAGTCAGGGTCTCAGGCCTGTGATGCGCCATGCAGAGGGCAGAGGGCAGAGGGCACTCATGCAGGGAGCTCGTGGCCCAGCCCCGACCACGTTCCTGAGGCCACACAGGCGCTGCCCCTGACGGGATGCTTGCGTCCAGAACGTGCACCCAGAAGAGGCAGGCTCAGGTGGACAGAGCAGAGGGGCAGCTCTGGGCTCTGGGGAGGTGGCACAGGAGGAAGCCCAGAGCTGCCAATCAAGATGTGCCTCTGTGCCCTGGAGCCAGAGCAGCCGTGTGAGTGGAAGTTCACCTGGCAGCGGCCAGTGTGAGGGGATTCGCTGGAAAGGCACGGACAAGAGGCTTGAGTGGTCAGAGGCTGAGCAATGGTACACGTTAGCCACAACAACCAGAGACCACAGTCCTGGCCTCGGTGCTCCACACCCTGGCTGTCTGCCTGGCCACCTCCCAGCATTTCCGGGGGCCACTCCTGAGCCAGGAGCCCCACTCTGAGCAGGAGCAGCCCGATGTGTGGCGACAGCTCAGGGTTGTAAGCCAACCCCTGGGGACCTCAGTTTCCCTTGTGTAAACTGAGGCAGTATGACCGGTTCTGCTCTGAAATCCTATGGGCCTGGCAGCCCCCCCGGAGGAAGGGAGGTGTCGGCGCCAGCAAAGGGGAAACGTGGCAGGGCCCCAAGCAGACTGCCACTGCCAGGCAGCCTGTGCCCAAGACAGCGAGGGACAGCCACCCCCTCGTCCCCTGAGGAATGCATTCTGGGGCCAGATTAATCAGTTAACTGCCACGATATTTTGAATTTAATTTATAAAGGTCTGCTGCTTGCATCTATAGATGCTTATGGCGGACAAATGGTTAAGAGAAGCAAGGGGTCTAGACAGAAAAGAGCCTCCCCCCCCCCCTTCTCTGTACAGTCCGGCCTCTTCCAGACACGGACCAACTGGGAGAGGGTGGTGGAGGGTTCTCGATCAAAGCAACTGATGCGCAGGGAGAACAAGTAGGAGGTTTCACCTGGAAATGGACAGACAGGGAGAGGGCACGGGGGCACAGCAGGTCACTGTCAGCCTGACTCAGCTTCACCTGAGGAGCTTTGTCAGGGAGCTTGTCCCACAAGGGCCTGCCCTACCAGGTGCAGCCCTTGTCACCGGCGCTGTGTGCTCAGGGCTGGGCCATCACTGCTCCCGTGGCTGTGATGAACCAGATGACCTCCCAGGCCCCTTCACCCCAGTCCGGTGACGAACTGTGTGAACTCGGAACAAGTCTGCTCTGGGTTCTCATGGCTGTTCGTGACGACGGCGGAGAAACTGCTCCTGTGCCCAGCAACTAAGGTGCGTTTACACGATGGACTCCCATGTGCCGTCACTAAAATACATGAACTGTGGTGATGTGGTCAGTGTAAATGAAGCAAGAAGCAGTGCACGGGACCCAGGGCCTCACTGGTCAGGACTCCAGGAAATTGTGTACATTGAGGAGGAGAGTTGATGCCTGTAAAAAAAATATTTGTCTAAAACGGCCTACTTAGTACCATGGGTTAGACCGTCTCCCACCTGTGCTGCTCCCGCACTCACCTGCAGTCACCTCAGCTATTGATTGTGTAACATGCTTGCACTGGTCTTGCTCCATTTGTCAACCTCAGTCACTGTCTGTTGGCTCCCTGTCCTAACAGACAAGGGACACCTCCCTTCCTTGTCTTTTCAGTTTGTAGGTAAATTGACATTCAGTTTGGATTACAATTTATATTTACTGTGAACCAAGAATCGGACTGTAATTAAATTATTTTGAGTCCCTTTTTGTTCTTCATGGAATTAATGACCCTGTTTTTTTCATTTGCTTAGTTTCCTGTGCTGGGTCTGACCGGTCCTCCTTTACTGGACACTGGCCTCCATCTGGGGGCACGTCTGCTGGCTCCCTTTGCCAGCACCCAATCCTGGGCCCTGTCTTCCTTCTCCATCGTCTGTGCCTCTCCTCTAGTGAAGCACAGCCACAGGTACTTTCTCTAAAAAGCCACTAGAGTTCACATCTGTAAGGCACTGTCTGAAATTTTTTCTTAAAAATATTTTTTTTATTGATTTGAGGGAGAAATAGAAATATCGATGATGAGAATCATTGGTCAGCTGCCTCCTGCACCTTCCCTCCCCACACTGGGGATTGAGCCGCCAACCAGGCATGTGCCCTGACTGGGAATCGAACTGTGACCTCCTGGTTCATAGGTCAATGCTTACCCACTGAGCCACACCAGCCAGGCTGAAATTCTCTTTATTCAATTCATACATATATGTGATAGTTCAGGTCATAAAATTTGAAGTTGAGAATCATTTTCAGGCAGTACTCCCATTCATTTTTATTTTTGTAATGCTATTGAGAAGTCCCTAACCACCTCTCTTTGAGGCTCTGAAATGTCAGGACACACCTTATTCTGTGTCTTATTCTGCTGTGGGTAGAGATGTGCATCCTTCAGTTCTGGAAAACCTCCTCCTATTTTCTCTCGAATTCTGATTAGGCCAGCATCTGTTAAATCCGGAGAGAACAGGATTGATCCTCTGACTTTCTTCTCTCATCTCTTATTGTCCTTTTTTATTCTGTTTTTGAGAGATTTGTATCTTCCAGCTCTTCTCTGAAATTATTTTTAAAGTGCTATTATTTTCTCAGTTCTTTTTGTTCTTTGTTCAGTCTTCGATTGTGGTGTCTTTTTAAGGAGCTCAACAACACCATCAATCAACTGGCTATAACTGACACCCCAGACTGCTTCCACAGAGAACACACATTTTCCTGAAGTTCACATGGACGTTTACCAGAGACCACATTCTGAGCCATAGAAAACACATTCACAGACTTAAAAAAAGAATAGAAATCACACAAGGTCTGCTATCAGACCAAACGGAATTAACTGGAAAATTCAATGTCACGTAGATGTTGATTTCCCCAAAACTGATCTATAGATTCAGTTCCATTCACAATTTCAAAGAGGTTTTTACTGTTGGAACTTCACAAGCTGATTCTAAATTCTACAGGGAAGCACAAGGATCAAAAACAGATCACAGGGGATCATACACAGAGGGGCAGAATAGAAAAACAGATTGTGGTATAGTCAAAGGGTCATACAGCAAAGGAGGAGTGCCCTACAGCTGCGCACATTTAGACAAATCTCAAACACTGAGTGAAAGAGCAAGTCATCAAATAAAAATGCAAATAAACATTTACATAAAATTCAAAACATGCAAAACCAATACAAATGTAATGAAGTTACAGAGCAGAGCCAGAGAGCGATTGAGTCTAGCGTGTCCTCTACCAGGGAGGGCACGGGAGGGACTGCAAAGGGAATGGTATCCATTTCTTAATTGGGTGGGAGCATGTTTCTCTTTATAAATATTTTCTCACATCTCCTTTTTATTTAAAAAACCCACAAAAACAAAAACATAAAAAAAGACATTCTGGAGCGGGGTAAACAGGGGACAGGTGGTTTGCCAGTGCTCATGTCTGAGAACAGCCTCCCAAGCAGCGTCTGGAGGCTTTCACTTAATCCCATGTTGATCCTGCCTCTCATCCTATCCGCTCCAGTGCCCTGAGACGTAAAGCTTCCTCAAACAGCCCCCTCGCCCCCCCAGAAGGCTGGCTGCTTGGCTGTCGGGGGTGGGGTGGGCACTGGGGGGAGATCCATCCTAGCTGCTCCTCACAGACTGGGCCAGCCCCTCCTGTCAGCCCCAGACCTTGCCTTCCACGTTGTTCATGGCATTCCTGAGCATCTGCAGGGTTCTGGGAGGCAGTCTGGCTGCCTGTAGGCCCCTCCCTCTGGGAACACAATCGCAATCTCGACTTCTCCGCTAAGAGAGCAAATGAACCTCCATTCGCTTTCCGTCGTTTAAAACTCCAGGCTCTCTGCTCTACTGCTGTCTTCTTCCTATTCTTTTATTACTTTTTAAAAAAATATATATTTTATTGATTTTTCACAGAGGAAGGGAGAGGAATAGAGAGTTAGAAATATCAATGAGAAAGAAACATCGATCAACTGCCTCCTGCACACTCCCTACTGGGGATGTGCCCGCAACCAACATACGTGCTCTTGACTGGATTCGAACCTGGGACCCTTCAGTCTGCAGGCCAGCACTCTATCCACTGAGCCAAACCAGTTAGGGCTATTTTTTATTTCTTTGCTATCATTTCAGATTTTAAGAGGAAACAGGTACATTTATGTGCTGAAAACCTGCCACATTTAACTAGTTACTAGATGCAAACAAAAAGATTAAGTAGCCCCCAACCAGTCCCAAGAAGAGCACAGCCCTGTCAGCACCACCTGCCACAGATGCTTGCAGGAGAAAGCTGGGTTCAAATCCTGACTCCCATTTACTCCCCATGAGCTTATCCCATCAGCTCTCCGAGCCTTAAGTTTCCTACCTACATAACTGCTGCTCCGTGTATCAGGTTAGCTGGAGAGGTTCAATGAAACTGTGAATGTGGGAATGCTTCTAACTCTAAAGCAATGAACCTGGGAAAGAATTTTAGATGGACCCTAGCCGGTTTGGCTCAGTGGATAGAGCATCAGTCTACGGACTGAAGGGTCCTGGGTTTGATCCTGGCCAAGGGCAAGTACCTCAGTTGCAGGCTCCTAGGCAACCAATCGATGCGTCTCTCTCACATCAATGTTTCTCTCTCTGTCTCCCACTGTCTCTAAAAATCAATAGGAAAATATTCTTGGCTGAGGGAAAAACACAACAATCTTAGATGCTGATCATGCCCTGGCTCAATACCTGCCACGATGGCCGCTGGTGCTCCCACCCCATCCCACCCGCCACAGAGGCAGAGCCCGGCTCCCAGGTGTTCCGTGTTCCCAGCCGTGACCAGCAGAGGAACCTGAAACAGCAGCTGGGCAGCAGGGAGGGACCAGAAACCCACAAAGCGGAGGGAATCCGAGAGTCAAGTGGGTGCTTTATTCATCTGGCAACGGGGCAGCGAGGTTGGCTAAGAGCCCCTTGCCAGACCCTCCACTGCACTCGGGGCCACTGATAGAGGCAGATGCACAGGGCCCAAGCCCTGGACACTGAGTCCACGCTGGGCAGAGGCAAGGCCAAGGATGGGGCTGGAGTTGCTGGAAGCAGACATGAAGTCCCAGCCGGCCCCTCCTCCTGAGCCGGGCGTGGGCCTGAAATGGCTTATGAGCCCCTTCTCCCCTCCTCCCTCCCTCCCTCCCTCCCTCCCCGTGCGGCTCTGGCTCTCCCTGGAGTCAGGAAGCCACGACCCCCACGTCAGCTGTGGTCTGGAAGGTGATCCCGTCCCCCGGCAGCGGGGAGGCCAGAAAGGGCCAGAGCCAGACCAGGATCCAGCGGGGCCCCAGGGCCGCCTGCAGGTTGTGGCAGGGGCCCAGGTCGTAAGCGTGCTGGCCCCGCGCCCACTCCCAGGTGGTCTGGCCCCGGAGCAGCAGCATGCCGTGGAAGAGCAGCCCCGCCCCGCAGAACAGGGCGCCCGCCACGCACGTGTCGGTCACGAAGGCCAGTGCGAACTGCGCCACGGACACTCTGCCTGCAAGAGAGAGCGGACAGGATCAGGGCGGCAGCGGCCCAGTCCCCCGCCCAGCTCCTGCCCTCCAGCCACCGCCCAAATGCTCTGATGGCAGGCGGAACCTCTGGCCTCGGGGAGCTCACGGACATGAGATCCCTGCTCAGCTAATGACAGCGGTGCTGTGTGCCGCCGGAAAAGCAGGCCTCATCCGGCCCACAAGGGTAACAAGTATCTGCTGGACTAAGAACCACAGGGCCAGGGTTCGGAGCGGACCGTGGGTGTAGGAGCCAGGAGGCAGGGGGAGAAGGCCCAGAGCATTTGGGGGGGGGGGGGCAGGGACAAAGAGTATAAAAGACCAGTGGGCTTTTATCTTGGGTGTGACAGGAGAAAGGGGAATAAGTGTCATCCAGAACTCGGCCTCTCCATCAGCCTCCTGACCACGTCTTCCCTGCCTGCAGCTTTCACTGCTCCCACTCCCACTCCTGCCAGTCCCGCGAGGCCATCTCCTCACACCAGCATCTCCACCATCCGGTCCTAACCCGCTGTCCTGGCCTTAAGTCTCACAATTCCCACCGAATGGGCTTTGCTGCTCCCTGCCCAGCACCCCAGGCCTCATTAGGATGGTCCCCGTGAGATACTCCCCCGGGGACCTTCCGCTGGTCTTTCCTCCTCTGCCAACACCTCCTAGAATCCTTCCCCGACTCTCCCAGGCAGATCTCTGCACCTGTGGCCAGGCACCGCACTTTACCATGCCCAGCCGAACGCCAGGCTGTCCTCGCCACCAGCCCCAACTAACGATTCGGGACTGGGTCCCCAGGGTACTGCCCAGTGTCCCTCCTCCCACCAGGACGGCCCCCTGCCAGGGCCTCTGCCTCTCGGGGGCCTCCCTGGTCCCACCTGTGAGCAGCATGAGCCAGGGCAGCAGGAGGAGGGCCGCGGTGTGGAGGGGCGGGTGGGCGCGCAGCAGGGCGGCCAGGGCGGGGCCCAGCAGCACGGACACGTGCAGCAGGACGCCGGCGCCGTGGAGCAGCAGGCACAGGAAGGGCCGGTAGTTGTGGAAGCCCACGCAGCGGCCCAGCAGGCGGCAGTGGTGGTCCCGGCGCAGGATGCAGACGCGGCAGGCGGAGCAGTGCCCGCTGCGGGGCGGCACCTGGCTCTGGCACTGGTAACAGTAACTGCAAGGAAGGGGCCCAGGGTCAGTGCCCCCAGCAGCTCCGAGTGCCCGGCTCCTGCCTGCGAGCCCGTCCTGGGAAAGCGGAGGCCGCCCTCGCTGAGCCTCAGGTTATTCACAGGCAAATGCAGGCGGGACCCCGCTTCCCGGCCCTCCCCGGCCCAGCACTGCAGGTCCGAGGGCACTGCCGGCTCTGACATCCTTAGTCCTGAGGCCTTTCTCCGGCTCTCACCAGGAGCAAACTTCTGCCTTCCTCCGCCGTCACCACTTGGCCCAAGTCGCCATGAACTCTCACCTGGATTATGGCAACCTCCTCTTGACTAGTCTTCCCGACTCCACCTTGGTCCCCCACTCCTAGTGTAGTCTCACCCCGGCAGCTAGACCAGCGGTCAGCAAACCACGGTTCGAGAGCCACACGCGGCTCTTCGGCCCCTTGGGTGTGGCTCGGCATTTGAACCACTTCTTCAAAATAGACTCGCCCAGGCCGAAAACCGGCTTCTGCGCCTGGGCCACGAAGTTCAGTCGCACTGTACATGCATGCCCGCACGCGGTATGTTGTGGAAGAGCCACACTCAAGGGGCCAAAGAGTCGCATGTGGCTCAGGAGCCGTGGTTTGCTGACCACTGAGCTAGACTGATCCTTAAAAGGCTAAGTCATGCCCTAGCCGGTTTTGCTCAAGTGGTCAGAGCATCAGCCTGCAGGGGTTCCATTCCCATCAAGGGCACGTACCTTTGTTGCAGGCACAGTCCCCAATCCCTATCAGGGAATGTGCGGGAGGCAACCGATCGATGTGTCTCTCTCACATGGATGTTTCTCTCCCGGTCTCTCCCTCTCCCTTCCACTCTCTCTAAAAAAATCAATGGGGAAAAAATATCCTTGAAGATTAACAACAACAAAACCTAAGTCATGTCCCTCCTCTGCTCAAAATCTTCCAGTAGCACCCTGGCCAGTGTGGCTCAGCTGGTTGGAGCATCGTCCATGCACGGAAGGTCGTGAGTTCCATTCCCAGTCCGGGCACATAACCAGGTTATATTTTTGATCCCCAGTCAGGCATATATGGTAGGCAACGGATGGATGTTTCTCTTTCTCTCTTGTCCTCTCTCAGCTTGTCTCTTTAAAATTAATTTAAACACACACACACACACACACACACACACACGTCCTCAGGTGAGAAAATTAAATATTAAAAAACATCAACCAGCCGAAACCGGTTTGGCTCAGTGGATACAGTGTCGGTCTGCGGACTGAAAGGTCCCGGGTTTGATTCCGGTCAAGGGCATGTACCTTGGTTGCAGGCACATCCCCAGTAGGGGGTGTGCAGGAGGCAGCTGATCGATGATTCTCTCTCATCGATGTTTCTAACTCTCTCTTCCTCTCTCTTCCTCTCTGTAAAAAATCAATTAAAAAATATTTAAATAAAAAAACAACCACCCTCCGATGGCTCTCCATTTCCCTTTTAGTAAAGAGCAAAGCCTTCAACGTCCTACTAGGTCTTCGCATGTCTAAGCTCTGTCCTCCCCTTCTCTCACTCCACATTGGCCACACTGGCCTTCTTGCTGTTCCTGGAACATGCTAAGCACATAACTGCCTCAGAGCCTTACGGTGTCTCTCCCCTCTGCCTGGAACACTCTCCCCCCAGATCCCCGAGTGGCTAACTCCCCCACCTTCTTCAAACCTTGCTTAAGCGCTACCTCTTCAATGAGGCCTACCTTGTCCACCCTATTTAAAACTGCTCTACGTTTTGTTTCCTTACCACCATCTCCTAACATTCTACATAATTTATTTATGATGCCTGTAGTGTACCTGGCACATAGCAGGTGCTCGGGAACATGTGTGAGTGAATAAGTGACACTCCTAGCTCTCCCATCCGGGTCCCACAGGAGCTCTCTGGCTCTAACAAGCGAATCCCATCGAATCTAGTTCTAACTTCCTCGGGTCCCAAGGCCCCGCCCCTTGCCCGAGGCTCCCGCTACCCCGCCCCCCGCCCCCCGCCCCCCCCCCCCCCCCGAACCCCGAGCCCCACTCACGCCCAGCCCTGGCCTAGCCCGTGGCCGGCCAGCATCACGCCCCGGATGCTGGGGTCCGAACACAGGAAGAGTCCCACGTTGCCCAGCAGGTTAAGCAGCTGGAAGGCGGCCAGCGCCAGCTGGAAGGCCCGGGCCAGGGGTCCCAGCGGGGGCGGCCCGGGGCCCAGCACCAGCACGTAGGCCAGCTCCAGGCCCACCGCCGTCGCCCACAGCGCGGTGAGCACGAGCGGCAGCCGCGTGGGCGGCCCGTCCGCGCTCCCCACCGCCCCCGGCTGCCCCATGGCCCAGACCCACCCGCCGCTTCCGCATTGGGGCGGGGAGAGTGTCAGACGGAAGTCCGCCCCGACCAATGGAAGCTCTGGGGGCGTTGCTGTGAGGTGAGAGTCACGTGGAGCAGCTCGCGGATGCGAAGATGTGATTGGACGGCCCATGAGCCAATAGACGCTTGGAATCCCGTTGGCCCTGGAACTGGGGCGGGGCAGCGCCGCTGGAGCCCCGCCCACCCCTGAAGCCCCGCCCCGCCCGCTGCAGCGCCGCTCGCTCGTCCGGCTCCCCGTGAGCCCGCGGGATTGAGTTGCACGCTCGGTGGCGGCGGGGTTTCCCGGCTCAGCACATTCCCCGTGACCCCCAGCCTCCCCGGTATTAATAGCCCTGCACCGGCCCATCCAGCTGGCCCGGAGCCCCTCCCCATGCTCGAGTGTCACCCCAGAAAACGTTCAAAACCTCTCTGCGCCTCGGTGTTCCTGCCTGTGGAATGGGGCCAGGGCTCCGGTGTCCCACCAGCGCCTCCGGGAAGGGTCAGGAGGAGGCCCAGAGCGCGGCTTCCGGAGCGGTCTGCAGCCGCTGTGACTGTTGTCATCTCCGATGGAAGGAAACCGCGAGGGGCCCGGCTTTCCCGAGCTCCGACGGCGCCCTAGCGGCGGAGCTGGACCTTGAACCCCGATCTCCGTCACGGGATCCAACCAACGCCCCCAAAGTCTGCAGGCCCCAGGCCCAGTGCAGCCTCAGACCGGGTCCCGACCCGAGCGCCCTCGCCCCATGCGGCCCCTCCCCCGCACCCCCATATTTAGCGCGAATCCGATCCGGGGCCGGCCCGGCGCTACTTAACGGGCCCGGTGTCCTGGAGAGCGCCGGGCAGAGCGAGGCCGGAGCTCCGGGGCGATGATGATGGTTCTGCAGCCCGAGGGCCTGGGGGCCGGGGAGGGGCCCTTCGCGGGCGGCGGCGGCGGCGAGTACATGGAACAGGAGGAGGACTGGGATCGAGACCTGCTGCTGGACCCGGCCTGGGAGAAGCAGCAGCGGAAAGTGAGTACCAGCCCATTTCCTGATGGCATCACTGAGGCCCGAGAAGCCCGGCAGTGCTGGGTGGTAGAGCCTGCAGAGCGCCACTCCCTGGCTCAGGCTCTGCCCACCGTCTTCTGCGCGCGCCCCCCCCCCCCCCCGCCCCCGGCTGGAAGAGAGGGCGGGAGGAGAGTGTCTGGGGAACCCCCAGGATGCATTTCCCTGGGTCCACTGCCCTACTTCTCCTAAGTTGGCCTTAGCTCAGGAGACCCAAGCTTGAGGGTTTCTGGAAGAATCATCTCTATCTCCTCACACCTACCCCACCTCTCCCAGGCCCCGCCCTGGCAGGCAGGCAGCTGGTAAAGAGACTTGGGAATGTCCGGGTGGGACAACCAGCCGAGATCCCTTCCCGCCCGCTCCTCCGTATTCTCTTCAGCATGGTGTCTGGAGTCACTTTATTCCAATGGTTAAGTGAGGAAACTGAGGACTAGAAAGAGGCAGAAATCATATGCTGTCAGAAAACAGGACCCCCTCCCACCCCCAACCTGAGGGTCTTTGCCCCTCATTGGCCGCATTCCCACTCTTTCCCAAGACACCCCTCCCTGCCCCAGGGGAGCCTGCTGGAAAGGCCACAGGATTGGGGAGGAGGGAGCCTGGGTCCCTTTACGCAGAAACCTGACTCTCCGGCCAGATGGCCGCTCGGTGCTGAGGCAGCAGCTTGCGGGGGAGCTGGCGAGGGGCACAGGGGTGCTTTGGCCCAGTCTCGCAGGGTGCTCGGGCCCCCTCTCCCGGAGCTATTTTCACTCCCAGACTTTCCCCATGGCGGGGGCAGGACACCTGGGTTCCCAAAAGAGAAGTGATCCAGGCTGGAGGGGAGAAAACTCTAGCGAGTGCCAGGCCAGGCATAGGGAGGACGCCGTGAGGCTACTGGGCCCTGCTCAGCATTCGCCGACAGCACGGCTCCAGAACCGGGCAGGGAGCAGGGTGCTCGGTGAAGCCTGTAGGACCTGAGAATCCCAGGGTTTAGCATCAGACCAGCTCTGCTGGGCTCGGTGACAGGAGACTGCTCCAGGGGCCAGGAGGCTCAGCTGACAAGTCTCCCCAGGTGACAAGCTTCCCCTCGCTCCTCTCACACCTGTCTCCGAGCCCGGCAGTGGTCCTCGGGTCCAGCAATCTCCGGGTGATGTCACCCTGCCGTGGCTCCAGCTGCCGTGAGCTGTGCAACAACTCTTTATATATATATATTATTGATTTTTCACAGAGAGGAAGGGAGAAGGATAGAGAGTTAGAAACATCGATGAGAGAGAATCATCAGTCAGCTGCCTCCTGCACATCCCCCCACCGGGGATGTGCCCGCAACCAACGTACATGCCCTTGCCCGGAATCGAACCCGGGACCCTTCAGTCCGCAGGCCGACGCTCTATCCACTGAGCCAAACTGGTCCCGGCTGTGCAACAACTCTTACCCTTACCCCCGCCCGCCCGCCCCGGCCTCTCCCACATCCGGGTCCACCTGCCCTTCTTAAGACGCAGGCCTCTCTGTAACGTGCCTTTGTCACTTAACGGGAATATCCTTTCCGTCCGACTTCCAGCCGCCCCCCTCATCCATTCACCCAGAGGCTGAGGAGTATGGCTGCTCTGTGCATTCATCATTCTCCGGAGGCTGGACATTCCTGTCCGTTCTTTCTCACCCAGCGCTGTTTATTACAGTGTAGCGAACTCTCTGTGCTCAGCATCAGCCCTGCCTCCTCCCTGCTACCCTTCTGCATCTGGGAACACTCCCAGCTCCTCCCACCCGATGCCCGAGTCCTCCTCTTCATTCACTCTCACTCAAAAATATCCACGCATTATTTCTTGAGAACGTCCTACTATGTGCCAGACACGGTTTGGGGTGCCAGGAACTCGGCAGGGGACCAGCTCAGGGAGCTAGTACTCCCGCAAGGACAAATGTTTCTATCTCACCCACCTTCCCTTCCATGGACACCTTTTTCTCTCACTCTGGTCCTGGTCACCATCTCCTCACTTTTCCCTTGTGCTCTGCCACGTCTTCTGTCTCCACTCTGCAACCAGAATGAGGTTTTAAAACATACCATTCTGCCGGGACCGGTTTGGCTCAATGGATAAAGCGTCGGCTTGGGGACAGAAGGGTCCCGGGTTCGATTCCGGTCAAGGGCATGTACCTTGGTTGCGGGCACATCCCCAGTAGGGGGTGTGCAGGAGGCAGCTGATCGATGACTCTCTTTCATCGATGTTTCTGACTATCTCTCTCCCTTCCTCTCTGTACAAAATCAATAAAATATATTTAAAAAAAAATACCGTTCTGCCAGGACCGGTTTGGCTCAGTGGATAGAGCGTCGGCCTGCGGACTGAAAGGTCCCAGGTTCGATTCCGGTCAAGGGCATGTACATGGTTGCGGGCACATCCCTGGTGCGGGGGTGTGCAAGAGGCAGCTGATCAATGATTCTCTCTCATCGATGTTTCTAACTCTCTATCCTTCTTTCTTCTTCTCTGTGAAAAATCAATAAAATATATTAAAATATATATATACCGTTCTGCACACACACACCTCTCCCCCCCCCCCCCCGGCTCCTCACAAACTGGGCCAGTCCCTCTTGTCAGCCCCAGACCTTGCCTTCCACGTTGTTCATGGCATTCCTGAGCATCTGCAGAGTCCTGGGAGGCAGTCTGGCTGCCTGTAGGCCCCTCCCTCTGGGAACTGGGGGGACCCCGGGAGCTGGGGGATATGGCAGCAGAGACTGCAGGGGGTTGGCGACGGAGGGGAAAGTTTGAGGACAAGGTCTCCGACTTCTCGCGACCTTTGACCCTTTTCCTCCTCTTTTACGCCCAGGAGAGAGGCTGCCCCGGCCAGACAAAGGCAAGATGCGCTTCCACAGAATCGCCAACGTCAACAAGGCCCTGGACTTCATCGCCGGCAAGGGGGTGAGGCTGGTGTCCATCGGGGCTGAAGGTGAGGAGGGGACAGGAGGGGGCCTAGGCCGGGTTTGGGGGTTCCTGACCCCAGCAAGTCACCCTTGTGCGCCTCGGTTTCCTCATCTCAACGGTGGGGCCGAAACGGTGTGGCTCAGTGGATAGATCGTCGGCCTGCGGACTGAAAGGTCCCGGGTTCGATCCCGGAGCCACTGGCCCTCTCCTCGGGCCTCTTGCCAGTGGGGGATGTGCAAGAGGCAGCGGATGGATGTTTCTCTCTCATCGATGTTTCTGGCTCTCTATCCCTCTCTCTTCCTCTCTGTGAAAAATCAATAAAATATATTAAAAAAACAAAACAAAAACAAAAACAGTGGGGACAACCATCTGTGCCTCATGGGAGGGACTGTAAGGTGCAAATGTGCCCAAAACGCCGGCCCGTACCCTGATACCTAGACTGTGCTAGAATCAATGTTAGTAACACAGTTGAGTGCCCACCTGCCCTGGGATGAGGGGCCAGGCCCAGAGAGCAGAGCGGGCGGGGGGAGCAGCTGAGGCCGGTAGCACGGGCCTTGAACCCCAGGGGGGATGTGCCCCATCCCCGCCCTGCAGAGATCCCGGATGGGAACCTGAAGATGACGCGGGGCATGATCTGGACCATCGTCCTGCGCTTTGCCATCCAGGACATCTCCGTGGAGGGTGCGCAGGGGCTGGTGGGGAGGCGGAGCAGGTGAGGGGAGGGGGCCTGGCCCGGACCCCTCCCCAGCGAACACGCCCCCATCCTCACCCAGAAACCTCGGCCAAGGAAGGCCTGCTGCTGTGGTGCCAGCGGAAGACGTGCCACACCGCAACGTCAAGGTGCAGAACTTCCACACCAGGTCTGTCCGCTGGTCAGCGCGAGCGCGGGGCCTCTGCCAGCCCTGGGGCCGGAGCTGGCCCCTGTCCCAGCCGCAGGGGAGGAGAGGTCACAGCCGAGTTCCTGGAACTGTGTCTGGAAATAGGAGGACTCGGGCAATGCTGATTGACTCCAGGAGGCTGAGGGAGCCTTCCTGGGAGAGGGAGCACTGGAGATGCTC